ATTTGTAAGTTAAATATTTAGTTTATAAACTATGACATTTATAAATGTATGAATCATATGGTGAAAAACTGACTTTGAAAAATAATCTGTTCTTTTTATCTTATAAAAGTTTAAATAAAACACAAATATTGTGGTAATTTTTGACTGTGTAACTTTACAAACGGCACCACATACACACACTCATAAACATGAGCAGTATTATTTGTGTGTTAACAGTGTCGTACGTTGCTGAGGTTCTTTTGGTTCATCTTGACTTGTTTGATGTCGGGGGTATCGTAGGTCGTGTGGATCTTGTCCTTTTGCTTATGGTACAACTCGCGATACAGACGCTGCGCAGACAAAGAAAAATGAAATGAAGTTATCACAGAATGATGATGTGTCCTCCTGAACAACGCAGGCAGAATGTTTGCTCACATCGTTGACAATCTTGTGAGCCTTTCTTGCACCGACAAAGTTGACACCCTCGGGATGAAGAGTGTAACCCTTAGCCTTCGTCATCTCATAGGCCTCCTTGTACTTGGCCTGCAGACATTAGAGTCGGCAGAGATTACTGACATTATAAATGCTTCACTGCTGTGAAATGAACGTGCAGAATGATCAAACTCACGTTGCTGGTGACGACACGGTTMATCTTAGCCTGCCTGATGAGCGGCGTGTCGTTAGGCAGGGAGTATCCAGTGGGCATGGATTTTCTGTTGGCCTCTTTGTACAGGTTCTGGAAAAATAAAAGAAACACGGTAAGAAGAAATGATTTTTTAGCTTGATAGATATATATAAATCCTTGAACCATTTTTGCAAATTRAGGTTAAAGCCTTGAAAATAACYGGTTTACAAATGTTAGCAGAGTAATCTTAAATTATATACCGTATGTGCCTTTTTTAACWGATGCTTTTTTCACCAAATCTGGAACATCTATAATCGTCTGTGCATGTGTAATGTTGCAGTGCTTAATTTAAATTATTACCAGAGTTGTACAGTAACTAAGTACAAATACTTTGTTACTGTACTTAAGTAGAATTTTTGGTTATCTGTACTTTAC